ATAAGTGATTTGGGAGAATGTAATGAAATTCTGTCATTTGAATCCAGTAGATATATACTATTTTTCAGTACAAGGTAAGTACAAAACATACCTTTCACTCATACCGCCCTTGCTCACCAATCTGATTTGGGAAGCATCCTCAAACAATTCTTTTAGTTCATGCTGAGTGACTTTGTCAGGCAGGTTCTTGATCAAAAGTGTTTTGGCATTTCGATCTACATAAATACAAAAGAGTATTTTTAGTCTGAATTTAGATCTCATAAACATCAAAAGTTCTCTAAGAGAGGAAAATACTTCTCAAGAGTTGGAGAGTGGAAACAACAACACATATTCCTTCACTCTACAAATATCGGAACACAGCCTGGGTGAGGGCCTGTGCTAGGAGCTGGCTGTGAAAACACAGAATTGGCCTCGGCTCTCAGGAACCTGGTCTTGTTGGGGGAAAGGCCAGGAAACAAACACTCACATAATTATAAATGGTGGTGAGTGCCAGGAAGGAAAAGTAAAAGGAGAAATGAGAACATCTAGTAGAGAAGACATAACCTAGTCTGGGAGAAGGGAAAATTTTTTCTGATCTGAGGAAGTGAACTTTAAACTAAGATTCTATGGATGTGTTGCAAGTAGCCAGGGCACGAGTCCTGGAATGAACATTATGACAGAGAAGGTACGGCAGATAGTGACAGAGAACATGAGAGAGTCAAGGACACTGTGACAGACAAGGTGAGCCGTGCAGCTAGAGCACAGGGAGTGGGAGCAAGACAGATAAAGTATGTCCCGTGGAAGCAGGTGACCTGTTGGTAAGGAGCACCGAGGAGGACTTGCATAGAATTAGAAAGAAGATGGTATTCCTGCCTGAGCTAGAGTCTTCCAGAGACACAGGTACATATAAACAAGTTACCATGTTTGCATACCTTTCTTTGCTTCCTTTCCCTTTAGTTTCTTCAGTTTAATTTCATACCCAAGGACCTTTGCTTCATTGAGTTCCAGGGCTTTTTCCTGGTCATCAGCAGATCTAAAATTCACGTAACCAAATCTCCTACAGAGATGAAGAAGAAAAGGAAAAAAAACTGCACAGGTAAGATCAAGAGGCACATGCCTTCTGGTTCGCTAACACACTGGATGTGGGAGTGTAAATTAGCATTGAAGAATCCAAAGCAGCTGCCAAATTTACTATTTAAAACCAAGGCTTCACCAGCTGGGCATATCAGGGCCATGAAGTAACCAGAGAGCAGTGGTTCTCCCCCGGGCGAGTTTGACAATGTCTGCAGACATTTATGGCTGTCACAACTGGGGGAGTGCTTCTAATATCTCATGGGTAGAATCCGATAAGCTAGACAGCTCACCACAACAAAGGATGTCAACAGTACCGAAGTCGAGAAGCTCTGTTCTGAAGCAAGGACTGAGAGTCATTGTAAATTCACCTGTTGACGTCTTCATTTGTTTTCTGGTTAACAACTGACCAAATTTAACCAAAAGCTATAGAGGATAAAACTTGAAATGACAAGTTTCTGAATTTTTGTTTTAAGAAACAGCCAGCTGCATTTCTGAGTTGGAACAAAAGTATCATTCCTAATGTGGAATGTGTTAGCCAACCCAACGGCTATTAGTGTAAGAATTTTTTTAATGCAGAAGGAATCCTTATTTTTACTGCAAATACAACAACATTTCAAAATACAGCTAACAAAAACTGTAAGAAGAGCAATGAGACAAAAGTTGGGCTATCATAGGCTTGGAGACAGAGCGCTGGGCTCAAATCCTGGCTCTGCCACTTTCTGTGTGATATTGGGCATGTAGCTTAACTTCTCTGTGCCTCAATTTCCTCTTTTGTAAAATGGGGATAATGACAATAATTACCACTGAGGATTGTCTTATGGATTCAGTGTTAATATAAATAAGGAACTAAGAGCAATGCCTGGAACAGTGAGTGCCCATGAATGTTTATATTGTAAACTACCTTTTCATTTTTACCTAAGAAATTCTGAGCACTGTAACACACACGCACACCCAAGACAGGCTTCAGAGCCAAAAAAAGTGAGAAAAGATGAAATTCAACTCAGCAAAAAAGCAGAACTGATACTGGGCCTGTATCTGCCATTAAAGCTAGGGGATTTGTGAGAAAATTTGTGACTTAGTTTAAAATAATTCTAGGCAAATCACATTGCTCATAGTTGGAAAATCATGAAAATATATTTCTGTAAAGACTTGAGGATCTAGGGATTATTTTTTAACATTTTGGTTGGAAAAATGGGACAGCAAAGTTTAATATGGATTTACTAAACAAGCCGCTGAAGGATTTTAAATACTCATGTTGAACTGCAAGCGACTAAGGTAAAATCTCACCAAAGGGTGAAGAGCAGGTAACAAATGGATATGACAAAACGGAAGTCTAGTAACCCACAGTGAAACAAAAGGCCACTGGGACTCCTAAATACTCCAGGGATAATAAGTGCTGGGCTGATAAACTCTTAACATTCTTAATTTATTGGTATTTACCTGGACAAGCCGACTCTAATGCCAACAACTGCAAGTTCATTTTTAGCAAAAAATTCCCTGAGACCAGTTTTTAGTTCAGCAGCAGTTTTGTTGAAATTCAGGTTTCCGACAAACAGTGTGAAAGTTACAGGTGGTTCAGCTGTCATAAAAAAAGTTAAAAACAAAACAAAACAAGAAAACCTCAAGTAAATAGTTCAGAAAGAATGACGCTAGAAGAAAATTCCATTAAAGACTGGCAAACTGTAACACCAGGCTGCAGTTACAATTCTTTCATTCATCATTTGAGATTTGGTTTTCACTGCTATGAAATTCTCCATGTGTTTCTTATACCTTAAAACACACAAAAAAATTACCTTCTAATTTCTGTTTTTTGGTTTCAGGGGAAGCCTTCTGTTTGGCCATTTCCTTCTTCCATTTATCTGATGTTATTTTGATGGGTTCTGTGGGCAAAAGCCAGAATACTCTATTTTTTTATCTGCGTCACTAATGAGTAAACTGGAAGCTCTTACACTGTCTAACAAATATCATACCTATGCCATGACTATTCTTCACAAGACATATGGGTTAGGTCTGCTCAAATACTTTTAAAAGCATTTATTAATTAATTAGAAAGGTTTTCAAGTTTATAAAAGAATCCAACGGCTCCTGCCCACGGGCTCCCCTGACAATCCCTCCCACTTGTTGATACTGGCCACCACTTACAGAGCTGATTTGGGTCATTCTTACCTTCCTCCTCTTCCTCACAGCCTCTGTCATCACTGTGGTTATCCTGCTCATCTTCCTCGGCCTCCACAGGAAGGGCTTTTCTCCCTCCGGCCCATGGAGAGTACGTGGCTTCATTTTCAGAATCTAAATGAAAAACCCACCTAATCAATTCCGGCCACATAGACAGGTTAAGAATGAGAATGACGGGCTGGCCAGTGGCTCAGTTGATTAAGAGCATGAGCTCTGAGCAACAGGGTTGCCGGTTCGATTCCCACATGGGCCAGTGAGCTGCCCTGAGCTGAGCTGCCAACGGGTGGCCGGATAGCTCAGCTGGTGAGAATGCATGCTCTTAACAACAAGGTTGCTGGTTGGACTCCCGCTTGGGATGGCGGGCTATGCCTCCTCCCCCCGCACCACTTTCCCCCTACCCCACCCCCACCACATAACTAGATTGAAAGTAGCAACTGGACTTGGAGTTGAGCTGCACCCTCCACAGCTAAGACTGAAGGACAACAACTTCACTTGGAGCTGATGGATGGGTCCTGGCAAAACACAATGTTCTCCTTCCCTAATTCCCCAACATTGTTCCCCTCCCCAATTCTCCAAAATCTTTGAAAAAAGAAAAAAGAATGAGAACGACAAATTGTTCTTTCAGAGAAACAGCTCATGAAACTGCTCCTAAATCTGACTATGTACACAAATCTAAGAAAAAAAATCGCTACCATATTAACCTTTTATTTTGAAATAATTTAAAATGTATTCCCATGGTATTTTAATAAAAATGGTAAGAATTACTGCTTTGGAAGCAATACCATTTAAAATGTTACACAGACTCCATCAAGACAAAAAAAAATCACTGAGAATTAAGATTGGGGCACAGTTAACTTGCTTGGCTCAGAAGCACAAAGATAGAAACAATCAATGTCTAATTTTCAAGGCAAAAACTCTGATTGGACAGCAGAGGTCAAATGTCCACTGAGACGCCTCATCGATGAAGCCTGAAGAACCAGCCAGGGATTGCCAAGGCAGCCTTCTGAAGGGTGGTGTTTTCACAGAGCCTCTCCAGGAGTGATGCGAATGACACGCAGGGCTGCCCTTTGGTATCTTTCAGCCACCAGCTAGGAGCATCCGCGGAAGAGGATTTTTACCTTCCTCATCCCAGTCCAACTTATAGTTCCGACCTTCATCCTTCTCCTTTCTCTTCTCACGCTCTCCTAGCTTGGCATTCCTCTTGTCTTTGGGCAACTTGGCCCATGAGGCTCCCTTCCTGTGTGGTGATATTAATTTCTCAGCAAACATGGGTGCCAGAGACTTTTTCCCCCCTACTTTATTTCCTGGAACAGTAGTAACCTTCCTACCATTCTTCTGCGGGATGACAACCTGGAGGAGAAATAGCAACAATGAAGAGATATCTCCCCTATGCCCATGAGGTTACAATCACATTGTACAGTAGGCAAGGGCAAGATTTGGTCAGGTACCTATGTCAACATTTCTGTGGCTCTTTAGGACTAATTTCTCAATGTGTAATAAGGGAGCTCCTAGCACCAGAATCATCTGGCATGCTCGTCTAAAGAAAAAAGAAATTTCTTGGACATCACTCAGTTATCAAATCAGAATCTCTACAAAAAAAGGACCTAGGTTTCTAGAAGTATGCAAGCTACTGCCCTATGAAAATACACCAAGTCGAGTACTGCATAGGTGACTCCACGTGTCTTCAGAGTCCCAATCCTTTACATACAGGTAAAACGCCAAAGGAGAGGGGCCCCCCACACAGCCAACTGGACATACATAGGAATGAAAGCCAAGCCCAAAGACTGAACCTCAAGCTTCCTAATTATACCATCAATTCCCATCCCACAGCTAGTAATAATTGGGCACAGTATTATAAAACTAAATGACTAAAGATGAAAATGTCATCTAGCAGAACAATGAATGAAGTCTCACCATATACAAAAGGACAAAACAAAGAACTATGGGCGATGGATGGCCATGTAAAAACACAGTGAGAAGGCAGACATCTACAAGCCAAGGAGAGAGGCCTCAGAAGAAACCAAACCTGCCAACAACTTGATTTTCGACTTCTGGCCTCCAGAATTGTGAGAAAATAAATTTCAGTTGCTTCAGTCATTCAGTCTGTGATATCTTCTTATGGCAGCCCTAGCAAACTAATATAACTGTTACACACACACACACACACACACACACACACACACACACACACACACACACACACACA